TGAATGCTTCACATAATTTCATACCTCCTATCCAGCTACTGAAGTCTTACTCGTTCACTCTGGTTCAAGAAATACATCTGTTAAATGTGTGTGTATCCCTGACCTGACAACTTGCACTGTTGTATTTAAAGCTAATAGTTCCACACTGTGGGAAATGTCCTTATTTTTCTCCTTCTTGCCAAAAGAAAATCAATGAGCTACTCGGGGATCCAGTGGGTGATTAGCTTAGATTAGAATTAATACTTGAAACTGCAAGCCTGGCTCTGTCCAAAGGTAAAAGCTGCACACCAGCAACTCTTCAGGTCATAAATTAACGCGTCATGTCTCTGAGGTTGAACAATAACAATAACTAACTGGACAATGTTGGAGCAGGGTTTAAATAAAGTTCTGGGGAAATCTCATTAACCCCTAAAAGTCCCTCACACTTAACAAGGGTTAACCTGATTGGCTGAACACTGCAGCACCCATACTCCTTAGCCTTTGAGGGTTGCAGGGAGCCAATCACAGCTGACACTGAGCAGAAGGAGGTGCACAGGAGTCCTGGACTGAGTCGACGTATATTAGACTAACAACCATCCTCTCACATTCACACCTTTCATTTAGAGTCTCCAATTAACCTGCATGTCTTTGAAACCAGAGCACCAGGCACAGAAAGGCCCTGGTCTGCCAGCAGATTCCAACCAGAACCTTTCTTGTTGAAAGGTTGATGGTGCCAACCGCTGCACCACCGTGCACGCACAGCATTTATCAAGGCACAAAGTAAACTCAGGTGCCGGTAGATTCTCCCAGGTTTCCTCTCTGCTGACTCGTGCTAATCTCTCTGAGTGTTTCAATTAGAAAATAAAATATCAGAGGAACGAGCAGGCTGCTCTGCTGTAAACACGTCGTCCCCTGAAGATAGCCAGCGGTCATTTTCTTTCACATCACAGGAGGAGGCAACTGATTTGACGACTGGTTAACAGGAGGAGCTCCTCCTGGCTGAACTGACCGACAGCGCTCAATAAAGAGCTGCGGTCTGCGTCTTGATTGACACGTGAAGTGAAGCCTTCACCCAGACACACTGTCTGCGGAGGCCGGGAACGCATTAGAGAAGGTAGATCCCCTCAGTAAAGCAGCTTCATGTGACAATCCTCACTGCTCATGTCGCCGGCAGAAACTCAGGGTCACGGAGGGGATTGAACCCGCGACTCTTTAGTTACAGGAGCCTTTTTATCCACTTGTCCACTCTGCTGAGTAACATCACAGCTCTGCTATTTCTGGAAATGAATTAGTCTTATTTCAGCTAAAAGCCATGCGATGTAATACCCACTCACGGTATTAACTTAAGAGGATAGAGCGAGAACAAGGAGAAGCGAAACAAAAAATAAAAAAGCTCTCATATTAATTACTTTTTCTTTTACCACTGACAGACGTGGAATTTAAACTACAAACTGTTTTACTTCATCACATCAGGTTAGAAAGTGTCGGATTTCAACGTGAAGTCAAAAAGCTTGGATCAGACGTCAACTTCCTCTTATTTCTGATCACTTCCACTTTGACGTGTTTACACATGCAAGCATTATACGAAATGATGGACATTCAGCGTCGATCGAAACTGCAAAATGAGGTGAACGTCCAATCAGGATCATCGTCTCCTTCCAGATGCCTCGTAGGTCGATCACCTGTGAGCTGTCAAAGTTTTAAATATTAACCCCCTCCTGTCGTTCAGTTCAGCACCATGATCAGAGTGACCCACCTCCACCCCTGCACCTCCACAACTATGGATACCCGCTGTTCTCCCTTCAACCTGTCCAATCAAAAGCCTCCATGAGACGTCCCAACTTCATCACCACCTGCAGTGTCCCAGATGAACAACTTTAACAGAACTTAATTGTTTTCTAAAAGGTCCATCATCAAGCAGTTTACAAAGCTGCAGGTTATTACGAGTGTATGAGCAACAGATGCAACTCACAATCATCCTCACTGTCATTTAATATGCTTTGTTGTTTTCTCAGTCAATCAATTCACTGTTTGGGCTATAAAACAAGAGAAAATTATGAAATGTCAAATCAGAAATTCAGACGATTGCAGGGGATCTGACCGACAAAACCCCAAAATATTCAATTAACTGCCTCAAAAGGACGAGAGAACAGGGACGTTTTCACATCTGAGGACCTGGAAGCTCCTGATAAAGACACTAAACTGACTTTGAGCGACACTTGTTCTGTTAAATGACTAATTTTCACGATCAAGAATGAAGCACTGTGTTTAATTTATCAGCCAACATGGACAATAGGACCTAAAAGAGCTGAAATGATCAATCAAATGTTCAATCAGTGGATCGACAGAAAGTTAAACATACAACCAGGCATATTTTAACAAGTGATTATTAGTCTAAACACTTAATTTGGCAAATATGACAAACTTTTGATAATTAATTATGAAGATTTGTGGATTTTCTCTGTTTAATTTTGTCGTAAAATCAATATCATTGGATTTTGACATGTTGCTCTGATAAAACTACTAATCTAAGAACATCACATTGAGCTCTGAGAGGCTGTGATGGACCTTTTCCATTATTTTCTCACATTGCAACGACAAAACTATTATAGATTTAATAGATACGTCCATAATTGCATCCATTGTTGTGGGTCTACCATCGATGAAACAATATCTGCTCCTGAGCTAAGTGGACCAGATCTAACCCAGACAGTTAAATCTGAATTTGGCTCTGATGACGTGCAGTGTTTGGGTCTCTGGGGGGTTCACAGGAGCTGGATGGTCTCCATGGTGCAGCCTGGCACAAAGATGGAGATGCATTCTGACAACATTCAGAGTAAGCTGCAGGATAAACACCTCCTCCTCCAGGCTGCACCGAGGCTGGAGTGTTTGTTTATCACTTTGTTTGTGTTCACCAGCCAGCTGCCATATGATCCATCTCTTATTCACCACCTCATCCAACACAGTGCAGGGGGCTGCGAGCAGGGGGCTGAGTGCTGGGCCTGCATGGGCACCCTCTTGGCACGATGCTGGATCTAACCTGGATCTAAACAATCCGACAAAATGACTGTGCAGCTTTGGAAACACCTGCGGTAAAGTTGCGGTGACTCACCTGGGCACGCAGTTCGGGGAGGATCCGTCAATCTCCCACGTTGCAAACAGGTTCATGGGCACCGGTCTGTTGAGAGCCCCGCTCCCGGGGAAGCTCAGGCGGCCGCTTCTCTCCGCCATGGTCCGGGGCTGCTGCTGCTGCTGCTGCTGCGGGGGTCCGATAAGGAGCTGTGGGGGGGGTTCGTGGACAGCGGACCGGTGCGGGTCCTCTGTGGGTGTGTGTGTGTGTGTGTCCGTGTGAAAGAGCCGCCACACGCTCACGGTAGTGCGATGTGAAGGGCGGAGGGCGAGCTCATCCCTGCGTCCTCTGCGCGCCGGGCGGGTCGGTGTGGTGCTCGGTGCCGGGGAGGATCTGCAGAGTGCGCAGCGCAGCAGAGAATCACGGAGGTGCGCTTGTTGTGCCCACCACGCTGCTCCCGGAGTATGAGGGGTGGTTAGTGCCACACGCCACCCAGGAGGAGGAGGATGAGGAGGAGGAGGAGGAAGAGGGGGAGGAGGGAGAGGAGGTTTCACAAACACATGCTGCGTTCCAGACGAGTCGGATGTTGAAACTGGCCAGTTAACCATTATAAACTTTGTTCCCGTGCAACTGGATCATTATCAACACGGGTTATTCAAGCGTGACGTCATTCCGAGCGCAGAGCTCTGAGGCTTTAAATTGTCTCTTGTCGTTTTGCATTTTTATTGTCGTGCATTTTGCATAGATGCTTCAAATATTGTCTCAATCTCAATTTACGTCAGACATTGACTTTGTGCTTTAAATGGTTAAAATATAGTTTTTTTGTTGTTTTATATTAATTTGTGAACGTTTCAATTTGATTGATTGTCTGATTTAAAAAAAAAACACAAAACTGATCAACTGACAGATAAAAATGCATCTTGTAGTGATGTCATGTGATATAAAGATGAATACAACACTGCAGCACGAGAGACCGAGCAGTCATTTGACTTCTTGCATCGCTGCTACATTTCTGAGGGCAAATGAAAGACACAGCTTTCACTTTTCAACTGGCTCCTCTCGTGGCATTAATCACCCCTCATACTTTTCTCCCCAGGAAACACGTCACTGAAGGTCTCTGGACTCAGGTGCAGCTGAGGTCACCTCTTATTTTGGAAATTTGGTGCATTTTAATTAATCAGCCACATCCTCTGTGTTAATTAAGGAAACGTTTTAAAATGTGAAAAATCCCACACTCGTGCCCTCACACCTGCCCTGCTGAGGAGCTGTTGAGCAAGTCAGACACCTAAACAAAGATTTTTTAACTGTCAATAACTAATGAATTCATATTGATCAGATTATTGAACATGGATTCACAGAAATTCTCATTAATGTCAATGCACCATGAGAATGCACTGCCACCGTGTGGTGATGAGAGTGTCTGACGCTGGATGAACTCAATGACCTTTTTGTTCTTCACTTCAACTAAACCTCTGAAAGTTTTTGAATGAAACTCCTCACAGACACGTTTAACTCTTTCCTTTACGGAGCCTGACCATGCACCACAGTGACAGGCTGCAGGACACAGGCTCTGTGGATTAGTGTGAGCTGATGGATAAGCTGTTCAAATTAATCCATGCATAGCTCGTCCACAAGTATAATTTATCACCAGACGCTCCTCTCACACTATTTATAGCCGCCTCGAAAAGCGAATTGAAGAACTTTTGATTTCTACTTCACTGACAGTGACTCAAACGTATTGACTGGACGCAGTGATATAAATCCAACACACGTGCCAAGTGTGTGTTCACCCATCCGATTCTGTAATACTCCAGAGAGAGGATTTATTTCTCACAGTGGAAAAGGAAGGATTTTAACTGCACGTCTTCATCCTGGCTTTTCAAAAAGTTCATCCAGCAAGTGTGGTTTTTATATTCTGACCATTTTGTGTAATCACAGCGACTAAGATATTCTTTTACACCATCATATTCACATATTTCAATGTTTTTCCTCATCATCATTAAGACATTGTAGAGACCGGCGATAAACATTCATGTTAAAAACAACTAAGCACGTCCAAAGCAAGTAGTTGACATTTTAACATATTTATCTCCACCAAGGTTTATATAAATCACTTTTGAATCATAAACAAATGGCGTAGATTTAAAATGACATGTCTGACCCTATGAAACTGAGCCCAAGAGACATTTGATACTAAAACAGTCTCCAAAAAAAGAGACGTGTCATTACAGGATCAAGAATTTTATCTGTTAAGATGAGAAGGTTGTGCTTCTGCAATCAGGAAGAGACAAGCTACATAAATACCCATGACAAGTAACTTTTGCTTATTATTGACTCAATACTTGCAACTAAGGCAATAGGTCGACTTACTTTTTCCACAGATGTTTGCATCTTATACTTTATAGAACAAATGATTTAAAAGCTGATTTTCAATGTGGTTTTATTGCCGTTGTCCAAAAACTAAGAATCAAATACTCAATTGCAAACTGATTCTATAACTTGTCATAATTGTCTTTATTTCTGCTTATGAAATGTGGTGTATAAAACTCAAATGTTATTGCCGTCTGTACAAGAGGCTGAGCTACATTTAAGCCAACAGCATGAGATTCAAACTTATTTTGTTAAACTGCAGAGAATTTATTTAATATATACGAGCGACCTGCATTTACAAAATATTCAGAGTTGTTTCTGGACAAAACAAAAAAAAGAAATGACAATATGAAGTGAATTTTATTAGTATCGAATCAATAAACATTTCTTCTTGCTGAAAAAGACACTTGTGTTCAGACAACACCACACAAGTCTGGAGACGGAGTAAATAAAAGCAAAGAAAATGAATCACGAACACAAGACACGGTCCTGATACAGCAGTGTTTAAAAAAAGCCGCTCAAAATTAGTTTCGAATTACAATATCATTACACAGGGAAGCTGAAATACATCACCGACTGAGATGTTAGCATTTTCATCATCACATACATATCAGGGCAGTGAATGCAACACGTGTGGGGGCGCCTGTTTTGGTGCCTCGCCAGAAGCAGAATCACAGTTTCACGTCGACACCAGGAGCTCACGTTTCAAACACAAACGGACTCAACAACATTTTGGAGAATTGAAACCATTCCCAGAGAACTTTCAACACTCGAAGCACGCAAAGCACAGAGGAGTGGATGGAATCAAAACATGGCAGACGAGCTGCAGGGTTGTCGTCACCAATTCACATGTTTGCCGTAGCTCAGTATGTCGTCGAAATACGGAGTTTTAAAAAGGGGGAAATGTATAAATCATTAAGTAACGGGAAAATAAAAATTCCCAGTGGAAGCACATCCAAACTAACAAAAAAAAACAAGATGGGCACATTAACAGCTGATCTTATTTCAAAAGAGGCAAGTATTTGCAAAAGGCAATTCCCTCTCTTCATTAAAAAAACAAAACCACATTTCACCATACAGGCCTATGGTGATCAACTACCAGTCTATGTTACGACCAAACACGGGTACTGATCTCAGTGTTTGCTGTCTGCTGAGGCGGAGCGAGAACGTGAACGAGAGCGGGACCGAGAACGAGAGCGAGAACGGGAGCGAGACTGTTTGTTCTGAGCCGGGGCTGGTGAGCGCGAGCGAGACCTGGAGCGGGACTTGGAGCGAGACTTGGACCTGGAGGGGGATCTGGCTGCGCCCTTGCTTCCACCTGACGACTTCTTCTCTGGGGTGCGGCTGAGAGACCTGGAGCGGCTCCTGGAGCGGTTGCGGCTGCGGGAGCGACTCTTGGAACGAGAGTAGCTGCGGGAGCGGGAACGGCTCTTGCTGCGACTGTCGAGCAAAGAGAGACAGAGGTTGTGTTAAATAATTTTTTTTCTTTAGTTTGGGAAGAGCCAGGCTAGCAGTTTCCCTCTGCTGTCAGTCTTTATGCTAGGCTAATTACGAGCTTTAGCTTCCTATACTTGAAGCTACAGAAGTGCAATTTTAACAGAAATAGTCAAGGGAGAAAAAAAAAAGAAAATCACCTTCTGCTGTCCTCAAATATCTTCAGTTTGCGTCCGTTCAGTTCTGTCCCATCGAGCTTGGAAATGGCGTTCTTCATGTCACTGCGAGATGCAAACTCAACCACCCTGGATATTAAAGCAGAGACGTCACATTAGACACATTTCTCTCTTATGACTAACAAACTGTTTGACCGACATGAAGAACTCACCCTTCGTTTTTGTTGGGCCTGTGAGCGTCCACAAAGGTAACTTCACCTGCTTTTCTCATCAGGTCTTTCAGGTCCTGTTTCAAAGCATAACACAGGATTAGTGACACTGAACAGAACAAGAGGTGCCAGTGAGAACCGTTTCTGACCTGGAGGGAGAGAAATGAGCAGGCAGCAAGAAACCAGCACACACAGGTTATCTAATGCTGACTTTTGTCACTTTGTGATAAGCTCCCATTTCAGTGGAGGGCATGTAAACAAAAAGAGCCACTGAAAGTTCTCTGTTAGAGTGGACAAGTGTTTTTAACAGACTTTTTCTCAAAACAGTATTTCTTTGTCTCATTAATTGGCTCCATGAATTTGGACTTAAGTTTTTTTTTTTTTTGGGCTAACCTGCAAAAACCTAATTCAACTCCAGGGTGAGACGTCTGACAAGTAGTTTGGGGTTTTTATGTGTCAAAAGTTAAAACTAGATGTATTTTTGGTTTAAGTCAATAGTGGACTTTGTGTCTGCATGTCTGAGATAAGTCTGATCTCATTAGGGGCTGTATGACAATAGAACTATGGCTCAACAAAAACCCAATTAGTCTCTTTTTGATTGGATTAAAAATGATGTGGCTCCAAGTGTTAGAGTAAAACTGCCCCGCCCCCCTCCCATTTGAGACTGTAACTCTACACTCTTTTACCACCCGACCCTGAACAAACCCAATCACATGAGTTTTATGCTACTTACCGCTCCATACCCAGGAAGACATTAGCATAGAGCCACTTGTCCAAATAGCAAATGGGAACCAATGCAGTGTTAAGCCCTTGAGAAACGACCTCGGCCTTGACTCAGCATCCGGCCTCCACAAGTAAGGAACCACCAGAGAGCAAGTAGAGAGAGGGGTGTGCGCCCGACTCAACACCCCCCCCAGCTCCATCAGCAACAGAAAAAGACCCAAATGGGAGAGTGTAGGGACCGTGGATTTGAGGGGGGTTACAGCAGTCGGGGGTGCCAGCCCACAGAACCTCCAGACTGTGGCTACGGACCTCCTAAGGCTACCGTATCCTGCGCTAGACCACTTTCACCCGCTACGGGGCCCAGCCAAGACTTTAGACCGGCGGCAACTGCGTGTAAGGAGAGGCACCAAATGGACACTATTCAGAAAAACAACCAGGAGATGGCGCTACACACTTGTGACACCTCCATGGAGGGTGTGCATTTACCTCTGATGTATAGGAAACCATAAAAAAGCAGCTGTTAAAAAAAAAATCAGTAAATGTTTTTGTTAGAACAAGTGTTTTTATTTTAGATGGAGATAAACTAAAAAAAAGGGGCTTTATATTGCGATTAGCCAATTATCTAATGAGTGCACAATTTTCAAAAATGTAATTTGACTACAAAAGCCGGCCCGATCATATGAATGCTGCATCACTTAAAAAAAACATGTCATTACAAGGTGACTTCAAAATTTGAAAGAGGTTGTGTTTTCAGACAGATGAGAACGGTTAGTAATCTCTTACCTGCCAGCTAATCCGTGAAGAGAGGTTCTCTACAATGAGCCTGTGGTCCGTCCGCACAGGAGGGCCGTACCTTAACAGGGAATTAAACAGAGCATTTAAAACATTTTTCAACAAAAGCAGATGATAAATATTTCCTAACCAACCAGGAAAGCGTTGAGTATTGATCGCAGACTGTAAAACCCCACTGAATATGTTCTCACTGCACAGAGTGTTTCACTGTGTTTACTGATCTTGTATTTACTTTGTCAGCCTGTGTTAATATTGAACTTGATTCAGGACTGGAACAACAAGTTTTAATTTGCCATCTCCTTTGACTTAATCTCAGTTTGTTCAGCTTTTTGCATGTGCATTTTCTGCCAAATGTATCCCAATTATATGTTTGTCTTCATTTAGTGATTCTTGTCTTTACATTTATGGATATGTTTGTGTACTAAGATAAACACATCGTCAAGAGTTTACTGCTCTTTATTTAACTTGGACGCAAGGAGAATAGAAGAAGGTGGAATTGGGTACTCACTTTAAAATCAAGTTAAATATATATAATGACCGATCACAACTGAAAAGACATTTTTTCCACAAAAAGAACGATTCACCTGACTGTGTGACCTAAATACTCAAACAGGTAAGAGATCTATAATACGAGTTTTACTTAAAAAAGACTTAATTTACCTGGATCCACTGCTGCGAGATGGACGATAGCCGCCGCCACCGCCGCCACCCCCACTGCTGCCGCTACTGAAACGTCCCATTCCAGGGCCGCCACCTCTTCCTCGTCTGGAGCGAGCATGCTCGATAGTGACCCTGAGCAAGAAAGATAAGAACATTGTGTTCAGAAAATAACCAAAAATATACAACCAGCAATCAAATCTAAAAACATTTCTGGAATTCTCCCAGACAGCCCTTAAGTTATGTCTGGAAAACGTTGGTGGGGTCCCTTATGAGAATACAGCAGGAAAATGGATGCAATAATGAAAAAATTATGTGATATCTCAGGCTGAAAAAGAGGAGCATTACATGTAAAAGATAGACAAAGATGTCAACTTGTAAAGAGAAAAAGATACAAGAGCTCTAGTGATTCAGGAAGACGGCAGTGTCAATGTGCTGTAAACAAAAAGCAGGATGTCCACAGCAGAATTATACTTCATGTCTTGCCTCCCGGTGGTAATTTAAAGCTGCTCCGTTCTTTGGTTGTAAACTCTGGCTTCCGGACTGCATGAACAGGCCAGAGGCTCAGAACACAGAGAACGCACCCAAGATTAGATGATTACCTTTCACTGCACAACTCCTTTCCATTCAACTCGTACACAGCATCATCTGCATCTCTATGGTCGTCGAATTCCTGAAAAGAGAGCAAACGGTCATTATAGAGGCAAAAAACAAGTCAGGTCGGTCATCATGATTCACATTATGTGGTATGTGACACTAACCACGAAGCCAAATCCATTCTTCAAGTTGATCTCCCGAATCCGTCCATATCCCTTGAAAAACTTCTCCACGTCTCTCTCTCTGGCATGTGGGCTCAAACGGCCGATGAAGACACGACAGCCACTCATGATGTTTCCTGCTGGTAATGGGAAAAACTTGTTTGGTAAATATCTCACCACAAAGGGAGTGAAAGTTTAATATTTGACTACTTGTCAGTTTCCTTACTTTGTCAGCAGTTCATTTTAAAACACCATGTGCCGAGTTTATTACCAATATGTTACTGAGCAGTAGTAAAGTCAAGATTGAAGCTGCTGTGTCAATAGTTCGGAATGACTCATGACCAGCGTTAAAGTAGTTTGCAGGTCTTGCAACTGTGAGACCCCACCCACTCGCATCATAAAAGTTTTGCATTAACCTTCACTGAAAAACAGCAGAGATGCTGTTGGGGACTGTAACAAGCAATTATTTTTCATAGACAATCAATCTGAAAGTTGTTTTCCTGAATGATGGTCAAGTTAAAGTCTTTTGTCCATTCCTGTTTGTCAGAATGCAAAGGTAACTTCTTCAAATGCTTTTGTTTTGTTGAACCAACAGTAAAAAAAATGCAAAAATACTGAACTTAACAGGATATGAAACAGAAAATAAGTAAATCGTCCTACCTTAGACTGAAATGTACTAGTATAAAGTTAAGAATAACTATAGTTGAGGATAGTTTTTGGTTGATGATCAGCTCATCTTTGCAGCTCTAGCTGGTATTACAAACCACAGTGTGGTTACTGCTGAGACCATTTTCTATAAACAAAACTGATAAGATGTTCTTGATTGCTTCAAATCTCCTTCAACACTTTCCTTAAGCCGTTACTTTTTCCTACTTGTGAATAAACATCTGAACTGAGTGAATCCCAGGTTGTGGTGAAAACCACGTCTGTAGTGAAACTGGGTGAACCTGAAAAGAATCAAAGCCTAAAGAAACCTGGTTAAACCAGTTTCAGTACAGTCGTTGACTTTGAAACTCAGTTTGGTTTCAGAAAGCTGAAACTACTATCGTCCAACACTCATGTGCTCACTCCCCAAAGCATTAGATAATCCTTCCTTCAATGAATGCAGTTTAATACAACCGGGCTACAATAAGTCCTGTCTTAAGAAAGGCTGTAGGTTTACAGGGGCCTGTTTCGAACACGTGAGTCTAATGTCTGTGGAGGTTGTGCAGAAATCTGGAACTGTCTTACACTAAGCATATTGATCTCATTACCGTAATTCTACAACACCACAGTCTGCAGCCCCACAAGGGACCATGAAGAAACTGTAGCTTCCTGCCAGAACTTATTTGGTTTCAATCATCGCATCAGCAGTTACGACCTGTAACTACGATTTAAACAAGTGCTGCATTAAGACACAGTTTCGAGGTACCTGGTGGTCAAGGCATTAATCAAAAATTTCCAATTAAAATATATAATTAAAATGATCAGATTAATAAGGTGAAATCATCAATATCAGCATCATAAAGTGAATATTACAATCCCCTCAACTTACAGTAAAAGGTTTAAACATTAACGTATCAAAAACTCTACTACACATAAAACAAACTAACATACGCCACAGGACATTTTTTTAGTTCTGTACTTCAAGTACATCGTAGGACTTTAACGATTAGTCGGGTAATCATTATAAAAATTAAACAGCCAGCTATTTTAATTACTGCACAACTGTTTTTTTTTTTTTTTTTACACACGTGTGTTTGCTGATTCTTTTTCATACACGATCACAACGATAACTTTTAGATTTTTGAAAACAAAGCACGTGGAGATTTTCTAGACAAGACGATTTATCGCTAATTAAAAATAAATCACGGTTCTTCCTCCTTCATCCAAATGATGCGAACTGATCTAAATCAGTGTTCTCTGTAATGATTTAATTGTAATGGTATTTATCCTCGCTGAGGTATTAGTAAAGGTACCTCTGTGGAAGTAATGGATGAGAGTACTCCCTCCAGTACCGCACACCAGCTCTAGGCCCAGCTTTGGCCCGAGGACACCCGGGATTAAATTACCTTTACTCCGCGCATCGGTTACAAACAAGACCAGTGAATAAAAAACAAAACTTCCACGTGACGAAATAATAATTTAACGGTTTTAACATTTAAGCCCCATTAAGCTTGTTTGGCTCGGTTAGCTGGATTAGCCTGGTGGCGAGGTAACGGCTGTAGCACGCCTCGAGGTCGGCTTCGGCTAAGCTAACTGCCGTTAGCCACGGAGCCGTGAATGAATGGTCGAAATAAACCGAGCAAACGATCGTTGATCAAAACGATCGGGTTGGCGCGGACATTAAAGACGGGCTCCGTCGCGCCCTCACCTTCACTCGCTCCTCTGTCCGTCCCCGGTGGTGTTGTTTACGTGGTTGTTAGCCGCAGCGTTGGCAGCTCCGCGCACTCGACTGTGTCAAAATGGCGAATGAGCCCAGAGAGCGGGGGGACCGGAACAAGAGCTGAACCCGGGTTGCCACGTCGGGGTTGCCCGACGAGTTTATCCGCTTTTTCGCCACAGCGAGTGTCGCGTTGGTGGTGTGATTTCTCTTCACAGTGAAGTATAAAGTTATTTCTTCACGAAAACTCACCGGGATGTGTATTTCAATGGAGAGTAAAGTAAACCGAAGTTTCGTGGAATAATTAAAGTGGACGAGTGACAGATTTGGCAACCCGGCTCAGAGTTAGTGTGTGGGAGATAAAAGTTTTAATCCTGATACTTAATGTGAAGAAGTTTTCTGTGATTCCTTCACTTTACATCACTCTTACTGTCCCTGTTCATAACATTCATCACACTGCTGGGTAGTTTTAAAACACATCCCTATGTTGATTAGGTTCATGGAGCTTAAACTAGTCCACGAATGAATTCAACAGTCCTGCAACAAATGGAAATTGAAATAGTTTGTGGGAGTAGATGATTCAGCTGATGGATCATTTTTGGGAACGTGGTTTGTGGTTGAAGGGGGTAGGAAGGAAGGCAGGGAGGAAGGGAGGACGGGAGGTAGGTTGGTAGGAGGTAAGAAGGAAGGTTGGTAAGTAGGAGGAAGGTAAGGGGTGGGTAGGTTAGGTATAATTTAGGGAATTGAATAATACAAAGAGTTTATCTGTTATTTAACCTACCTGTATTAACATAAATGGGATATGAACACAGTATAATATTTTACAGATATAAACTGTTTAGGCGTCTCTGGTCAACAAAAACCTGATAATGGTGACTTTAAACACATCTTTGATTTTCTCTTTTATTGTTAGCTGTTGTCCAACATGCAGTAAATGCAGAGACAGACGGATTTGAACAAACAAACAGAAGACAAATCCGGCCTTCTTGGTTAATCTGCCTACTTAGGTGTGGGCAGTAAAATCCTCAGACACGGTTGATGTGATTGCGGACCGCAATTTCACTATTTTTGTGAGAGTCTCTGGGTAATCCATTCAGAAAAACAGGTCATCATAAACGTATGAATGTTTCTGGCTGATTTAGTGAAAGCAATTTTAAATAGCTGACATGACAGTTCTTTATTGCAACATTGTCAAAAAGCAGTCCTGCTCATTGAGTTGCACCATTGCCAACAGCAATCTCACACATCCAGAGATGTTAATCTTGAAACCACACAGTATATGGCAAAACTGACAAATCTATATAATCTCACAGTGCCCACTAAAACAAAAGATACAGAACATGTTGTGGTTATCCATCTCTTTATTCTAGCACTACATCATCATTCTTGAAATGTTCTTGGGTTAGGAGAAGAAAATACAAGGTTAAGGTTGACACAGTACAACAGAAAAAAATACACCAGTCTGGTCTGCACTGTAGAAAGTGAATTCTGGAATACTGATCGCTGTACAGCCCCCGTCAACTTAAAACACGGAACAAAGAATCTGAACACAACACACCTGTTGACATGTCACGTGACAGTGAAAATAAATAACGATATAGCTTATTTAAGAACATGAAGAAGTCCGCTGGTTGAATTTGCACTTTCAGCCCTGTTTGTCAAAGTGTTCAGCGGGAACGAGCAAACTGCCGCCATCGTAAGTCATGTGATTTCCTTCCTGAGAAAAGGGTAACTGTCCATGAACGCACCACAGCAGGAGGGAAGGGGAAAAAATATTCAAATCACACAATGTGTTTATCACAGATTAAAGAAAACAAGCTGAAATGAGTCAAACTTCACAGAGCCGGAAGTTTGTCGTTCATTTCATGATCAATCACAGAAACCATCGACGTCTGGGGGGGGGGGTAACACATGCTGAATCCACATTGATTACTAATTCATGACATCATATTTTCCTGGTCTGATCTTCTCACTGCATCGAACCCAAACCTCCGTCATTATGAGCAGTTTCATAAAAAGCTTTGTGTCTGTAAACAAGATAAACAAGTTCAGTTCACAGTTCAAATAAATAGAAAATAAAAAACATGAAATCTTTAAGGAATAGTGATGCATTCTGGGAAAACCCTCTTATTCTCGTCTCCTTAAAGGAGAAGATTGATTTAAGACCTTAGAAATTGTAAATTCTCAATTTTTACACAAGCCAGGCTTGTTGTTTCCCCGTTTCCAGTCTTTATGCTAAGCTAAGCTAACCCGATGCTGGATGTAGCTTCATATTGAACAGACATGTTATTGATTTTCTCCTCTAACACTCTGCAAGAAAGCGAATAAATGCACTTCCCAACATGCTGAGCTAGTCTCTCAAAGGATTTCTGAAATTTAAAGTAAGTTACAGTTGTGGAGAAAAAAAATATTTGACCAGTGTTACCAAGGAACAATCTCTGGGTCTAAGTGTTCGTATCCTGGCCTGGAAGTAATCGCACCATTTTAATATAAACACCGTTTGGATATAAAAATGTAGACAAAGTTCATACAGGGTCAATACTCAGTAATAATCAGAGTAGCAGCTTGACTTGTGTTTGTCCACAGATAGTGACGAGGCTGCCCAAGGCTGTGTGAACAGTGACTATTTAAGCTGAACAGTATTTGCAGAACAGTAATTGTCAATGAACCGGTTACAGTTGGCAGCGAGCAGCCAGTTTACTGTTTAAAATGAGTGTCGGTTCAGTTCGATTACAAAAGGAGGAGAAATAATTGACGATATGATCAGAAATGTGGCGTCTCAGCGTACTTCGATGGTTTACAAATTCTTTCCACATGCAACGTTTGAACTCAAGGGATGGTTCAATTCTCTTTAACCCGCTAACCGTCTAAATGGCCTAAGTAAAGCTCCACACAGACAAAGCAGAGTCAACAATATCAACTGAAGGCCACATAGAGGTTATTGAACGAGAACTTGTTGAGATTGAGCGGATGAGCAGTTTCCTGGTGACGTCACTGTCAGTCGCCTCAGGTGTCGATCTAGTTATTCTACAAAAGCAGCTCTGAAGGCAGGGCAGGGAACAAGGCTGACAAAGGTTTAAAAGTTCATGGAAAAAGACTAAGAATAACGTACTACAAACTTCAGATCTACAAGTGGTTGTTGTCTCTTGAGCTCAGAGCTCAGGTCAGAGTTTGCCTCTGGCGTCATCTCTGGTGTCTCTGTGCTGTAGGTCTGAAGTCTCTGGCAGCAGCTCTCTCTCCATGACGAGGAGACTCTGCTTTTCCTGCCCCTTTACTCAGAGAACAAGCAGTATGAGGTCAGGTGGTTGTTCAAGCCGACTAATGCCACTTGAGCCACTAGCGGTGGTGGCAGGAAGATCCAGAGGTCGGAGTGTGTGTGTGTGTGTGTGTGTG